CCCTGTATAGTTGTACTAGCTAATAATATTAATAGCTATCGTGGCGTTCAGAAAACTAAAAACTTGTCGTAGAAAATTTATTGTACGTACACATGTATACGCGTACAATTGACAAATAAAACTGGTCATAGAGAACTTGCTCGTCTGTATTTCCACATGAGTTTCGGGTGATCGAGTCTCGATTCTTATGAACATATTTTATTTTTCAGCAACCATGTTTCAAAGTGATAAAACGAGAAGTTCTGGATAACTTTTATATGATTGGTGGTGCAGCTATTGGTATCGCATTTATACAGGTTGGTGCCAGAGTGTTTGTGTTTTATAGTATTGTTATGCAGGGCCGTGAGCGGAACATGAGGGAGGAGAGGGGGAGGGGCGCATTCACCGTTGTCAAGAATAGGAGAAGGGGGGGGGGACTCGATCAGGTTGAGCTGCGTCCTTCGTATATTCAGCTCAGCCCGTTGCTGCCCGTAAGAAAGGATGATTAAATGTGAATGTGTCTGGAGCGAGAATTCGAGTCCAAAAAAGAAAGCCTGTTTCGTGTTATTAACCGCGCAGTCAAAAACAATAAAAAGGGACTGGAACTGACGTCCAATAGCGGCTTTAATTAGCCTTTCTCACGCCGCCATTTTTGGGTTACTGTAATTTTTCGTAAACGATTATAACAATGTGAAAAGCAATATTTCAGAACAAACTATTTACAGAGTAAATTTACCATCATACACCCATAAAATTATAAAATGTTCCCGTTGCGTGGTGTTACGCTTGCAGGATTGGCAAAAAAGTACCCCAAAAATGGCGGCGTGAGAAAGGCCAATTGACTTACTTTGCGTGGTTTGTCATAACCGAGCGATAAAAAAGGATGAAAAAGAAATGGGCAAGACATACTGTCCACGATCATATAGCCCGCATAAAGCCAACCTTTTCCACTTCTCAGTCACGAACTACAAGGAAGCACTGACTTCAATATATATGAAGTGATAATTTATATTCAACTACTTGAATCCAATGAACCCTTAAAATGCGATCTCTCGGAGAGAAAAAATATAGTTTGAGCCTGTGGTCACAGAGGTTTTTCGATTGCCCGACGAAATGTGAAGTCAGGATAGGGTGTCAATTTCACTTTCTTGGCTTTAATTTCCGCCATCTTGGCAAGCTATATGGTTTTATGAACTGATAACTTGGTTAGCGATACGGTCCGTTAGAAAAACTGGCATGAGCTGGGGAAAATGGTATAAATTAAAGCTGTTTACGACCTTCATAGCTATCAGACGTTAATAACTTAATGGCCGCCAACTTGGCTTCACTTTTCTCATTGGCCGAATGACTGTCCTTACAGGCCGAATGAAGTTCTTGCTCCAGTTATATATGGAGCTCACTGCCTAAGACTGGCAACTTCATTGTCGATACTAAAGATATAGCCCCAGTGGTATATCGATCATGTTGTCGGGCCTGTTCATACTGTATATATATATGAACCCAGGTAACTGAGAAACTCGCCAGAGTGCGATTTGCATGCCCTCAACGCATATAAAATTCAATTGTGTTCCTATATATGAGAAACGGGCCATTGCCCGGCTAGGCGAGACCTCGCCCTGCGCTAGGTGTCAGTCAAGTGGGATAAAATTTTCCATATGAAAGCTTTACCCCACCTGACTGCATGGGAGTCTGGGATAGACATATTTTTCGATCTTGACCTACTGTATAATAATTAATATGGTACTGAACGGCATAGTTGGGAAATACAAACATTAATAGACCTTGCAGTTTGTTTAATTACAACAAAAATTTCGGAGAGGCGATGTTTGCATAAAGGAATGTCCCACCGAGGCAGAATATTAGGGGGGATAAAAACATTCATATGAAACACAGAAATAATTCATCTCACTCAAGTGAGCTTCCTAGCAAACCGGACTCGCATGACCATGCAGGGCCATAAATTACTCATTCTTTCTTCTTTAGATTTTCGCGATGGTCTTGAATGGTCTCGTACTTCGCACCTTCCACAAGAGAGAGGAGTATGAATAATCTTCATACATATTTTAGATGTATAATATTTTGTTTTACCTTGTATGTTATATGTAGATATTTAACAAAGGACAGTTTGACGCCTGTTTCTAACATTCAAATTATCAACCATCTTTAGGACAGGACATTTTATATATTTTTATAACTTGCTTATCAGTGTTAGGAGGATATATCATTAGAGACTTTACCATGTAGCACGGAAGCATGACGATGGCAGCTGAAACAAACTGATTCAATTATTGCATGAGTTGTATAAACGCGTACTGTATCAACCGCCAGGCTGTTGTTAGTTACCATGAGTATATAGGGTTAGTACCCCTCCCCAAATTTGGCCACTTTCCTCTACGCAGCTAGGAGCGGTCGGATGGAAATGTAAAAATTATTGGAAACTGATTAGGAGTAGGGAATACTCGTGGTTTAAAGAATTTTCCGCCAGAGACGAGGCTGAACTGCCAATTGCATGGGCATGCTATTGCGTGAATTTTCACGGGAAAATTTGTACTGGTTAGAGAAAAACATCTCCTCACTTATGGTCACTTTCCCCTCTAAAACGTACCGCAGACTTTTTTCAACATGCAAATGGTAATTATATGAAAAGGTGAAGGTAGTGCATGGCTTTAAGCTTGACAAGATTTCTATTTCATGACGATTGTCGCGGCTTGAAATGTTGGCGTTGTACACAAGACGTAGACATTTATAGTTTGTTGTTTCATGTGATCAGAGAGGTGAAAACGTCTAAAACTTCTGTGGAATTTTAATTATTCCGGGTTTTTTCTGAAAATATTACTTATTTCATTGTAAAACCCGTCGTGCGTCGTAAAGTCTCTATTGGTATGTTCAACAAACGAGCAGAGAATGTTCCCCTATAGAAATAAATTGCTCAATATAGAAAAATATAAACAGTCATTAGGTTGGTAAATATACACGTATATATATACACAATAAGAAAATATTATTACAATGCATGTTAATTAAGTCCCTCTATTATCAAAATAATGACTTCAGGCACAACAATTGTGAATTTTTGTATTTTCAAGTTTGTCATGTTGTAAGAATAGTAGCTTAACTTGGGAATATATTAATTAAAGCCTGGTTCACACTATAACAATTTTGTCGGCGATTTTGTATTTCTGACGGATGCAAATGAGTGGACTGGCACACAAAAGTACAGAGTCGCTTTTCTTTTTGCATGTCATGCATTCTGACATGCATTCGATCCCATTTGCCAGGAGGAGAAAAATCGGCGACATAATGGACCTTTCCCCTTATAACTAAAATTTCGATCTAGACAAAAATTTCATCACAGCTTGAAAGAGCATCACAAAATTAGTAATATTCCAAAGTTTTGTTGCAAAATCTTGTAAAATACGGATAATATAGCCTTGCGAAGTTTGCCGTTTTTCAG